AAGAATTAAGCACGGGTATAAAATGCATACCTAATTATTTTCAAAAGGTGTGAGTGCATAAGAAAAAAAATACCAACACATATGACCATTAAAATACCTGATAATACTAACAAAATCCTGATAAAAAAAAAAACAAAAAATAAATTGAGAAACAAAATTGTACTGACGAGAACAAAATATAAAAGCGGTGGTGTGGCAGGTTTCACGTATCTATTGGCCTATATACGAAGCAATTCAATAAATTAATTTCGGGTGCATATTATACGATATAATATATAATTAATTATATTAAAGCATATTAGTACCTACCTATTGTAAACTACATGTGTACCAGCAACAAAATGACTGTATAATTATATTTTTGTACGATAAAATGAACAGAAAAAATAAAACCGCGTAATAATATTTCACTAAAACACAAAACATTTAACGGTAAAAATAATAAGTTAATATAATAACATTTGCGCTCGCCAGACGCCCGTCGTCGTGTACCTATTAATAATTAATTATAGTACGTAACATGTAACGACTGACGATAATTTATATGTAACACATTCAATTCGTATTTTGAATAATAAACAGTTAAATATACCTACACGCTATAATGTGTGTGTTAGTAGTGGCATATTTACAATCTTTTTTTAGGGGGGGAGGGGTGTCGTAATAGTGACAGGGATAGATCCAAAAATTTTCAAAATGAGGGGAGGGGGCATAAACAGCAAAAAAAAAAATAAAAGTCATCAGGTAAAAAAAAATCAAAAAGCTTGGCCCAATAATATCTTGTTTATTTAATTTAAGGGGGCGCTCGCCTTCACCCCCCCCCCCCCTTGAAAAGTAATTTATTACAGAGCTTCCTAAACTATAGGTCACGTTTTATAGACATATAGTCATTGAAATCGAAAAGAGCAAAAAAAATAAGGTCAAAATAATTTTAACCGGTAATTTTAAAGACCACCCTTTTTCCCACGATTTTTTCTGATATCTTTCATGAATTATATATGCTTTTTTTGCATATTTATTTTTGTGGGGGTAGAAACCCGCAACATCCCCCTTAAATACGCCACTGAGTGTTAAATATCTCCTTTGATATCACATGCAGCGGTTCTCGAATTTTGCTGTAGTGGAAATTAATCGAATAAAGGCACTAGTTAATGATATTATATATTGTATTGTTATCATCTGTAGTCTATAGCCCTGCGGCAATCGACCTGCTGAAATATGTTGTTATTTGTATACAATATAATATATAATAATATATACATATTATATATTATTTAGAACTGATGGTTATTTTGCAACCAAAAAGTATGGTAAATTAACGTTCTACAGTATAATATTATATCGTTATATTCGTCTTATAAGTCCGCCCTCGTTGAATAATATAATAGCACATTTTAGACAAACCGTTCGGCGTGTTCGATGTAATATTATTATTATCGTTTTGTTCGTATCGCGTAAGACCGGTTAAAATATTTTCATGTTTTTAGGTGTGCGTGCGTGTGTGTACGATTTCGTTTAAATAATAATATTATTATTGTTAACGGCATATTCTCAGATATAATAATAATAATAATACCGTACGTTTTACTAACGAAATAAGAATCATCGGTCACTACTCATTTAAATATTATTATAGGTGCGTTAAACGAGTAGATTAAAAAGAGAATCGCTATCATTATATGTTTAAATTCAAGTTTGGTCGGATTTATTGTGCTTAGCTACACGATACGCGATTACTAATTATTATGAATTTTAAACCTGCCACGTATTATAAATAAATTATTTTTACGGTAGCCGTGTACGACTGAAAGAAACCATGAACGTGTACCTAAATAAACGGTTATTATATGCGGCCGATTATCAAAATTATAAAAACGTCATGACGTACAAAATCAGAGAACGATGATTTATAATTTGTAAAATAATAAGAGCACTGATGCAGAGTCGAATTACTCTTATTTCGAAACAAAAATTAATCGCTGCAAGTTAAAAGTACAGTTTAAACTATGTAAAAAACTGTTTGACGTACCTACTTATATTTAACAAAAATATGTTCACGGTTGGCCATACTTTGTGGTCTTACGCCATCTGTACTATTTTTTCTCTGTAATTGTTGACTAGATTATATAAATTTCAATTTCAAATGTTTACAGTTATTTAATGTTTATTGATTAAGTTTATAGTTGCACTGAATATTCAGTTTTCCGTTGTTTCTCTTCAGAAAAATCAGAATAATTTTTGAATAATGATATTTTATGGTAGAGCAAATGAAAAAAATAACGATTTATAATATTGTCTAGAATATGGTAAAATTGATGGAAAGCCATAATATCATGTCACTAGGTACTCAAGTGAATAGGTATATACATATTTCCTGTTTTTTTGTCCACATTTTTGTTTTGTTGTAGAATGTAGATTTATTTTACACAGTAGTTAATTCTACGAAAGATGAATTCCCAAACCATCGTGGAATATATTATATAATTTCATTAGAAGATTAATAGATATACCATATACTATATGCACTTAATACTTATATTATGTAACACTATAACAGTATATTATATGGTATTATAATTTGTAATATATAATGATATTATAGGAAAATTATATTATATTTTACCATATATATCATAATTTCAACTCAGTTTACAGTGATCTTGAAATTCTACCAATTTTAAATGTTAAAACTTAGATGAATTTATCATATAAATTGCACTTATCGCATTTACACAAATACTAAACTATTTTGATGAGTAGAAAATAATCAATACGGGACTAAAAGACTAAATTGTGTATACTACAATATACTATGTTAGACACATATGATTTCTTCTGTTAACGAACTATAAAATTAGTTAAAATAAGTATTTTCTAGAATAGCCTGTAATCTGTCATTGTAGTATACGAGATACACTCATATAGGCTAGATTAGAGGTTCTCAAACTGTGGGTCTCAAAAAAAAAAAAAAGTCATCAGATGGGTCACCCAAATTTAAATATTTTTTTTAAAACGGGCCATGCCATAAAAAGTTTGAGAACCTCTAGGCTAGATAACCATACAAAAGAATTTCATTTAGCATATTTGGTAGAATTCAAGTGGGAAACGTGACTTAATACATAAGATACATTTGAAACTAATTTAAAAGATATATTGGAGTTCTGAACCCAAATTTAATTAAATACTTAAATATTTATTGACAATAATTATATTTATTTTTCATTTTTATTTAATAAAATTAAGTACTTTTATTATTGTTATGATAACATATTAAGACATTTTAAAAACAATTTCTTAGTGGTGGTGAACGAGTGGCGGAGCAATAAACAAACAAATACCCAAATTTAGCTATGATTTATAAATAAAAATTAAGGTACCAAAAAAAGATAATTATATTTTTCTCTTTGAGGATAGTTTCAGGTAGAACATTTTAAAACCACCTATTAGTTTTGTTCAAAATTAATTTTTCGTTTACGAATTTGTCATAAAATTCAATTTTAAAAATTCTAACTACTGCCCCACTCAATGATATGGTAATAACTACTGTCGACTTTATTATTATATAGTTATTATTAACTATATATATATATATATATATATATATATGTATTGTATTGCAGAGCAAATTCCTATGATTTATTCTATTCAATTGCAATATTTAAAAATACTTGTTTTTATAATCCAATTTAAAAAATATTAAATACAATCATATGTGTATAATGAGTATAGAAAAATTTACCTTAAAAGAGTATATCATTGAGAATAATTTCATAATAATTATATTTCATACTGATAAAATAAATTACATAAGAAAATGGTATGACGTTAAAAAATGACAACTGTAAATTACTGGTAATGTGTCCACTTAATAATTACTAATAATCTACGTATTATTATAGATTTTACGAATATGGTATGAATTGGTTTTAGAATAACTACTATCATAGTTTATTGGTATGTATATACCGTGTGTCTCAAAAAGAACGCTGTTTTTAAATTAACTAAAAAATACGTAATTTTTACTAAGTACACAATGTTTAAATTATGGATATTTATCTTATAATTTCAATACCTAATACAATTGTACTTTAATATTATATAAATATTATTTTTATATTTTAAGGCAAAAGTTTTTTCTGACGTTGTGATAAGTACATGTATTTCTGACCACACAGGAATTGCCTTTAAATATGTATACATCTTCTTGTAGTGGAATCACATTCGATTAATGTGATTAATTGATTTCTAGTTAATTTTTTTTTTTAATTAAAAACAGTTATTAGCGCATATAAGACAAAAATAATGCATAATTATTCGACAAATAAATTTGCTGGTAACAATATGTAAAAAAAAAAAAAAAAAAACTATATGTTAAACTATATGTTTTAAAAATAATATTTTTGATTATTATAAAAATTGGTATCATAATAAATAGCACAAGTATCATCGATAAATTAATCAATAATCTAGGTATGCTATAGAAGTCAATTTGAAAATTAACATATTTCTTGCTGGTACTTAAGTGGGATTTTTCCTAGTGCATTTTGAAATTATGCTTGTTTAATGTCACAAAAGGGTCAGGAATAAAGTATCTTCCAAGTGTATCCCGAGAAAAAAGGTTAATTTTTTACGTAGCCCAAGTGCGTCTAAAACCATTTAGATTTATCCAAAAGCTATGGTGCACAATGCACATATATTTAATTATTTTGGCTTACACCTATTTTTAATATTTGGGGAAAGTGTACTGATTTTTTGTATTTTTTTTCTACATTGGTTGGATATGCTATTTATTAATGACAAAAATGCAAATTTTCTATTTTGAAACTACTTCACTCGTATAACGTATTTATTGATTTTAAACGAGTAAGATAATATTTATCTACAATAAAATATATTACCTATTACAAAATACTTCATTATTATAATATTTATTTAATTGTAAATAAAACTCGTTCGTCTTAGAATTATCAAATTATACTATACAATTATTATTATTTCAGGTTTTTACAGATATAGCCGAAGTCTTCTTCAACTAGCAACATCATATCTATTATCTTGGACTTGTGTTCAGCTGTATAACAGACACACACACACACATATCATTTACAAATAATGACGACAACAATATCTAAATTGTATAGCATTGTAGCTAATTTTTAGTTTTCGTTTATCAATACGAAATCTCAAATTTAACTATCACTTGAAACTTTAAATATGAAATTCGAAAAGTATATCCATGATAACATATTAATGTATGTATAGTAAATTTCAAATCTATAATTTTCCTGGAAAATTTTATAGTAAGTACTTGTTTACATTTAATATCACTCATTTTACCAAGTAAATAAAGTTTTATATGGATACCATATTTTGTTAAAAATAATTCACAGTAATATTTTAATAAAGTACGATTTAAGTATTCTTTCAGATAAATTTTATGAAATAAGAAACTAATCAAAATAATAACTATTAAAATATTCATACCCTGAAATTTAAATTATCATTCTTGGTATGTTATGACATTAACGATTCATATTAAGAATAATATATTAGTGTATGGTTCTAATTATAGACAGTTTTAGTAATATGGTATGTGAGGTAAAGTAACACAGTTGGGCTTGGGCAGATTTTATTTTTACTTGATATCTGTATTCTGTATAATGTATAAATTGGTTAGAGAAAATTGTTGTTTTTCAAAGTGAGTATTTCTTTTTAAAATAATGAAATTGATTTGAAAATATTCTTATTTCACGCTCATTAAGTTTTAAGTGAATTTTTGTTCACCTTAATCTTAATTTGAAAAACCTCAATAGATTTAGAAAGGAAATTCAAAAAATCTATTTCGGTAAAATCAATATTTTATTAAATTTAACTTAAAATAAAACTATAATTACCTACTGTGAAACTTTGAAAGTTTGTTTTAAAAAATATATATTTAGTAATGTATGTACTATGTATATAATATTATTATTTATTTAGGTAATTGTCTACATAAAAATCAATTAAAAAAAAAAATTCCTGATCAGAAGATATTTTTGGTACCTATTTAGAATTTGATAACAATATAACTTTTGCTTTATAACTAAATCGTATGACAATTAGATCGAAAATATATCCAACTAGATATTGCGTATATTTATAAACCATTTAACATTATTTTTTCATGTTTAAAAATTGTTATATTCATGTTTCATTAAAAAAATTGTTTTTTATATCAATAAAATAATTAAATTCAATTCGTTATTTTATTTTTTTATTCTATGACAGTAATTGTGTGAAAGTACTTAATATTCACAGCTACAAAATATTTGTAAAATATACGCAACTAGAAGGTATAGTAAGGTCTCAGTCCCCAGATCTTAGGAAACTATACAATTACAAGTTGATAAACTTGAAAGATATTGATCATTCATTAGACAATTTTCAGCTAATACAAAATTGTATAAATCATAAAGGTTAATGTACGCATTTCTATACTATTATAAAAATATATAATCATCGGTTTTGTATTTAATATAACCATTTATGTAGAACATAAAAAATCATTTTACAATTTTTCAATGGCTTATAACTGAAAGAAATTTATAAATCAATATTATAAGTTATGATAATTTGCAGTATTATGGAAAATTCCAATAAATTATATTATTCATAAATATTAGTTTATTTTTTTTTTTTAATACATACATCGTGCTACAAAATACCTAATTTTTCGTTTAAAAGGTGGATAGTTTTATGCTTGATATTTCATATTAATAATCTCATTACACATTGTGAATTTTAATATTTGATCTCGTTTGTGCGATAATCGCGTTGCATAAATCTATAATGCGTTTTTTTTTTCAAACACGAGACAATCAAATACATGTGCACTTCGTTTTGAAGATTCATGTATACCTGACATACATTTTACAATTTTACATACGTTATCGTATAATATTATTCAATTATACTAGTGTCATCCATTGGTCGAAATACGACTAAGTAAACCGTTTTGGTTCTAAAATAAACACGCACTAAAATATTGCATATCTCATAACACACATAATTTGGTATAGGTGTTTGTGATTTTTTTTCTATTGTTATTCACAATATGCGCGTTTATTAAATGGGAAAAACGGATATTTCGTATTTTAATTTCTAATTCATTATACAAGCTATAATACGAACACTATTGAATAATAACCATAACTATAATTGTACTAGTTTATCTGTTTAAATTGGTCAGCTAACTGATAATTATATTTTGTGATTTTTTTTCCATCGAATTCGATAGACTGGGATATTTTTTGTTTTAAAATCGTTTTAGTCTTATTTCATACTTAACCGATGGCGCAACTGCTGTGTATTCTTATTTTTATATTTTACCTGCAGCTTTAACCGGACAAAACATGTGTACAGTTTTTTTTTTTTTTTTTTGTGCGTTTGCGTGTACCTACGTATATGTGGAATTCAACTCAACAGTCGGCATTTTCCCTTGCTATCACAGTGTGTTACTATTAGTACGGCAAAAAAAAAAAAAAATAAAAGAAAAAAAAAACGCATAAAATATATATTGTAAGTACCTAGTAAACTAACCAACCGTTATTAGTCATTAACCGTGGTCGCCTAGAGGTAATATAATAAAAAAAATATACTATCGATCGGTGGTTGTATACAATATATTGTAAATAAAACGCAGCTGTGTGCGCGTCTGCGTAACGATTTAATACAATAATAATGTAATATTACGATGATCATCATCGCACTATGTCGTTGGGTGTTCACCGTATTCGTGCCGTGTGTTTCAGCGCACGAGGAGTTGAAGTTCTTGGACATGATAACGGAGAAGAGCGAAGCTAATGCCGCCGCCGCAATGCCGTCCACCGAATCGAAGACGGTCCTCGGGGTCGTGGCCAACCATCAGCAACAGGTGCACCTCGGCCGGCAGTCCGTCAACCGGCCACCCGCGTCGGTGCTCATCGGACACCATCACCACCACCACCATCACCAGCCGCCGGTGCCGCCGCCGCTGCCACCGCCACCGTCGCACCACCATCCTGTGCAGCAGCTCAACCAACAGCCGCCGCTGCACCACACCCGGTCCGGTAGCAGCCTGTCCGATTATCGCGGCGCCGTCGAACCGTCAACCGTGCAGCCGATAATCTCTTTGGAGCCCGGCGGCGGGGGCGGCGGGGGCGGCGGCAGTGGACGGCGGGCGGCCGTCAACGGAAGCGTTCCCGGTGTGATGTGCGGCGGAGGACCGGCCGTCTGGCACCCGCGACCCATTTACCCGTTCCCGTTACCACTGCCCAGCCCCGGCACCCTGTGGCATCACGCGCAGCCTCATTTCTCCACGCCTGGATTTCCGCCGACTTTCATCGAGGTAAGTCCGCCGAATCAATAACACGTATAAAATCGTTATAACCAGTTTTTTTTTTTCAAAAGACTATACATGTCGTAATTCATCAAATATATTCACCCCTTTTTTTTCTTTATCAATGTTTTCAACATTTTTGCTTGATTTACTTAATAATATAGACTTATATAAACTATAAGTTTTTAAATTGTTAAGGTATTTTTTCTTGTACTACTTAGTAAATTTCCTGTGGAATTATTAATTTCTAATTTTTTTTATGAGAATCTCTCTTATTTATTAAAAATAATTTAACGAAAAATTATTCCGGAAATATTAACTGATCAAAATTAAAATTTGAACGAGTAGTGCGTCTGTTCTAAATTTGTATTCTCAAAGTAAAAGTCCTGTTGTAATAACTTTGGGAAACTTGGGAGTTATGGTGAATCGAAAATTAATCAACTAAAACGTATAATTTTTTGTAGAAATAATTAAGTTTGATTTACAACATGGAATCAAATATCCAATAAACAATTCATTCTTAGTAAAAACGTTTTAAAACCTAACAAACACTTTTTTAGAGTTAATTAAATTTTCAAAAATATTGTCAACTAAATAATTCACAATAAAAAGTGAAGGGATTCTAATTTAAAAAATAAAAGTTTGTATCACCGCAAGACATTTATTAAGTAGTATAAGAATATCTTAAAAATTTGGAAATAAGGGTCATTAAGTATATTTATTTAATGTTTGATAAATCACTCTGTATATATACGATTAAGTTAGTAATCAAAGCGCTGGCGCTGGGGAACAATAGAATGGGGAACGCTTAGAAAAATGTCACTGGCACTTTCATTAAAGTGAATAAAGTACAGAGAGTAGTCATTATTATACAGCAATCGATGTAACGATAAGGTAATAATACAATATTATTATACGAATAACCATACTGATATATGCGTCTATAGCGTCTGAAATAAACAATATATTTCTTATGAGTTGAGATTTATTTTTTTGTTGACGTAGACAATTATGCAGCAGTAAATAAGATATAATTATTATACTGTCTTAAATTTTATCGATTCTGTGAGGAAGCGCATGTGTGCAGTTGGTAAAAAATGAAAATTTTATCGTTGTTTTTGATTAATTATAAATTTTTTTATGTATCTAATAGAATTATTTTTAAAATTGCGGTCGGTACGTAGACAATGTAAGCTATATACACTTATATATAACAATAACAATACACTTAATATGTAACAATCTGCAGTCGACAGATAATAATACAAACCTTTCGCTATTCCGTATTATAATTCGAATACGACTTCGAGAAATGTGTTTCGCTGTATAGGTACCTACACTTCACTCTTACAGTGTTTTAATTAATGTGACCTCAACCACAGACTTGGGTTAATTGCACGCGTTTTGTTTTAACCATTAAAAACATGATGATTGCATCCTTTGCGGTAATATATTTCCAAACATATATAATGTACGGTAACAGAATCAAAGTTGAAGTCCATCTCGCCTAAATACATATTATTATGATAACTGCAGCTGTATCCGACAATTCGAATAATAGTAAACACTCAAGGGTAGATATTCCGTTTAAATTTAACAATAGCTATGTAGGTAATGAATTTATTTTCTTAGAACTAAAATGAGCAGATATATTCAATGTTAAAACTCGATATGCATATTTACTTCAGCACCACGGTGACACCGTAGTCCGTAGTGCGCACTATGTTTTCGCTAAACCTATCTGAGCGAGTTGAGTTTGTTTTGTTGGAAAATTAATGTATTTCCATACATACCACGCTTGATATAATTATAGAGTACGAAGAGCTATAAGTTTTGATCAGCCTTGGTATACGATAAATTATAATACTTAATGCGAATTTGAAGAAAATAATACAGCTAGTTAAACTATAAATATAGTGGTACGCAATGTTAAATTTTTTTCATTTTAATAAAATTTCAAATAAATCATTCTAATTTAATAGGTACAGTTAATTACACAAAATTTGTAAGCTATCATTATGATATAAATCGTGTTCAAAAGACGGTTCTCGGTCATCTATTTGGCATGTATTTCAAACTTTAAGTACGGTACTAATGTATTATATGATTTAATAAAATAAATAATGACTATAGAAATACTTGGAATATATGGAATATTGTTATGAATTATGATATCCCTTAATTACGTTAAAATACGAAGTTTTAATACTTAAGAATTACAAATATCATGAAATAAATAGCTGTTAGTAAATCAAAAATTTACGTTAATCATTTTAGAACTAAAAATATTAACACTTTTAAAATTTTCTCTTATACCTATAAAAGTTTTGATTTATATCAGTAAAATACACAATCAGTTATCTCTCATTCCATTACAATGCACAAAAAATAAATCACAGATACAACAAAAAACACGATTAACATTTAAAATAGATTGCACAGCTGCAGTTTTCTCGTGACTATACTAGTTGCACTTAAAGTAATTAATATAAAACATAATTATATAATGATATTATTATTACATTTAAATAATAAAGTCGTTTATGATTTTAACTTTTGTTAAAAATGTTTATATAAGTAGACGGTAGACGTCTTAACTAAAATTATGAAGATTAATAACTCTCAAAACTAATATGTGGAAAATTGTTATAATTTTAATTTTTAAGTTTTCACAAAACACAATCAGTTCTATCACTGCTATAGAAGCAAATAATACATAGTTCCAATTAAAAATATGTTAAAATTAACAATTAAATCGATTTAATTATCACTCTTTTGTTCGTAATGCAATTCTAGAAAAATATGTAATTTGTAAAGTTTGCAATTTATTATTTTGTAACTCGTTAACATCGTTTACTCGGAATCCTAACAAGCGTTTGCTATTGTTTTTTTTTATATATATATATTCTTACATATATCTATATATCATAATTCTGTTAACCCATTTCAATATTATTAAAAAAAAAATAGTATTTCTTACGTCCACTACATGGTTATTGATTCATGGTTATATAGTTTGTATAAGGATACGAACCACATACAAGTTGTATGTGTAATGGAAAATTAATTAAACAATTATAAGTAGATACGAATAATAATCATTGCGTGAGCTTAAATTTTTGTCAATAAAGTAAGTGGCTTAAAAATATTTTTAACGACGAAAAATAATTATGTATGTTAGGTAATTGTTTTAAAGTAATTGGGATATGAAGAACAATTTATGACTTAAATATTTTAATTAAAAAAAAAAAAAGTATAATATTATATGTTTATGTATCCTATTCCACAGCTTCGTTGTGATAAATGTCATATTTACGTATCTAACGGTATATGATTGCACGTAAAATCAAGTTAATTTAACTAAACGACCAATTAAACACTGCTCTGCTATAATATTAAATCTTTATGGTGTGTGTGTATGCATTTTTTGCAGTCTCCAGCAGAAGACAATATCAGTATAAATATATTATATGTTATACAATAAAAACGAAGGATTTGATGTTATTGGGATTAACGCCAACCTATTTGTGTCGTGTCCTGAAATGATTGTCCCAATAACAATGAGAAAATATCCATTACGAAAGAGGTGGACCAGGAAAAAAACAATAAAATAAAAAGGAACACCTATATAATTAAACTAGAATCGTGTACAATCTAGAAAATGGCATTTGTTCTGGAATCGTATAATATATTATATAATAAGTTCACAGCAGTAGTATTATATTCTTTACATTTTTCCTGTCCCAACTATTTATGTACCTAAGTATAATGTATACTGTGTGTGTATATGTATATATAGACACATTGAAAACAAAATTTTTTTAGTTATGTTTTCCGTCGTAAATGTTGTTGTGTAAAATAGTTGACAGTTAACATGCATGACGGAGGTATATATACCATAATATTGTATATATATGTATAATATTGCTACTTATATCATACCTATTATAGTGTGCGTTTGATGACTGGCGGGTTGGTGGCATGACCAGTTGCGGTGGTGGTAGTGGAGAGTTTAGTGAGGAGGGGGCGACGGTGAGGTGGTATGAGAGGCCCCTGCAATGAGCTACAACCCGGCTGACTCTGATAAAGTTATTAAATTCTCTAGCTATGCAGACGGCAATAAAACGCAGCTTTACGATCCAGCCCATTGCCTGGAACTTTTGTCATTTTAATGAAAGGTATTAAACACACGGGTACGTATCGGCTGATTATTAAAAAAAAAAAAATACGGTGTTGATGCGATATTTCCCTCTCCATCTTATTTTAACGACATAACGTTGTGCTCGTAATAATAAGTGTATTCAGGGTAAAATTTTCCAAACCTCGTGTTTTTATAGCGTCCTGCAAGTGTCGAGATTTGAAAAAAAAATAGTTATTTAATATTGCATACAATTGGATTGTTATATTTTTACCAGTAGATATTTTAGAGGTTTTTTTTTTTTTTTTTTTTATTACTTTTCATAGCATATTTAAATACACTAAATACACTAGAATTTTTGACAGAGTAGAATAAAGGATAGTTACTCATATGATGTATATTTTGTATACGGTATACCTATACCGTGTACAAAATTTTAAGTCCGTGTTACAAACCATGTAATATTTTATTAGATATATTTTAAAACATATTATATATTGTACGGTGTGGTGACACAAGACAAGACAATGTGAGGTAAGGACGGATAGTGTGAACATTGAATTATTTAATTAAACAATTTAGGTATGATCACACGTCGCTCACTTCTTAGAAAAGTCGAAACTCGGAGAGTGTAATAGTCGATAAGAAAAATAATCGAAATTCGAGAACTCTCGCGTCATTGGAATTCGCCACCACCATAATCGGTTCTCTTTGTGAACCAACCATTTACAAGGGAGACTTGGACAAGAGCTTTGCAAACGGTTAGGGATATTCGAGACGCTCAGAGGTAGGTCGTACACTACTCACGGTCTCGTTCATCAGCATTTTAGAGTCTGGTCGTAATACCGCTCATCCAACATCTTATATTTTT